GAGGCAGACAGTGTAAGGCAAACAGTACACGCCCTTTCGAAGGTTGTTTGCTTTCAACCCCTCGAAGGGGCGTGGACTGTTTGCCTATCTGTCTGGCTCCCTCCTCCCCGCCAGCACTGCCTCCGCCGGCACGCTGGCCGACCGGCCGGCGGACTATGAAAGCAGCCTATTGATCTCACTAACCAAAGCGAATCACTTTGTGACGATATTGATTGGTAATCATAACCTCCACTTCACTTTCTTCATATTGAGCCTCATCTGTATCCTTTCAGTTCCAGGGCGATCGTTCCTCCACAAAAGTGAGGTGGTAGGGCGAGATGACTGGGGAAAATTGTTGCCTCTTGATGATGATTTCCAGAATAAACCTAGGTGGGGTTTCGGGTAAAGCAGCACCGTGGCACGGCGCATGAGAATGTTTCTATGTTCTTTTCGAGTAATGCAGGGGAACAGCGGTTTTGAACATGTGATGCACGGCTTACAATTAGCGCGCGCAGCCCAACTGGTTTTATATAAACAGATCACACATGGATACGTCACACATGCCCTTCAAAGATGTAGGGCATCGTCAATCTCTAGGGTTGAAGAAGTTTAATTGTGAATCTTGCCTTATCTTCATAATGAAGAGACATCTCTCTCCTCCGCCTTCCCTACCAAAAAGGAGAAACTGGAAAACGCTACAAGCACGGAAAACATTACCTCAGCAGTCGATTATCGGCTGAAGAGGCTAGGTTAGTCCAGTTATTTGCGTCGAGGAGCATAATGACGTGCTGGCCTCGAAGCGCTCAGCACTTGTCGCAATATCGACGATGATCTTCTTCGAGAGGAATGACTAAGATATGTCCAATCTACTCCTCTTTTATTCACTGTGTTTGTCAAGGGATGAGTTGGAATGTTGATGGAATACCATTATAATGGAGTGTGTAGCACGCTGATAGAGAAACTTTTGCTAAGATTGCCGTTTTGTAAAGATAGCAGACATGGATAAAACTTCGGCCTCAAACGGGATTTTCAAACCCGTCCTTGGGCTAACCGGGCTGGGCTTTTTGCCTGTAACTCGCCAACCTTGTGAGACTTTCGTATCGTACACTGTGGCGACATAACAGCGGTTAACAGACCTCCAAGTCCGAGTAGTTTATTGCTGTTGCTTTTTCCTCGTATAAAGTATTATAAATGAAAGTTCTCACTATCAAATCAGGGAAATGAATGTGTTCACATCACATGAGCGCGTTACATGACCTCCCTCAGATAATCCTTGGGACTATTCTACTCTTCAGCAATCGGAAACACCAATCGGGAAGCATTGGAGAATTCCAATCAAAAGATATCATCAGATTTCATATTTCTTGCTACTAGTAGAAGAGCTTGTTTTCAGCAAGGGAAGGAGTGGGGGGGAAAGATGAGGTAAGAGGTGGAGGGTGGCTGCCTCGCTAAATTTGTCTGCTCAGATGTAGCTTCAGGAGTCCGAAGATCGCTGAAAAACGAAAAATATCACGATTCGATTATGAGCAGACTCTCTCCAGTTCTCCAGCCCAGTTTTCTCGTGAAAGTGTATAGACTTCTCAAAATGCTCAAGTTTTTCTATTTGCTCTGCTTTCCAACGACAACTACAATCCCGAGATAAATTTATCCCTTTTTAAAAAATTAAGCAGTGCACAACGCATGATAATCCCAAAATTTAATCGCACCTATACACAACATTGAACTGGTCTGCTCATTAACAATTACTCTAGCTCAGAATCACAAAGTTGGAGGATTTTTTCATGGCTATGCCGGTCTACGAAAGCGGAGATGATGATTGTTTAGAGAAATATATTTCCATAGATTTGTAAGTTGGATATAATGTATGCATTTAATTACTCCCGCATTAAATAAAAGCCTTATTTCATGTACATATGAAGTGGTGCTCAGCGTTTCATAACACTCCGGACTAGTGAGGGGGATGATTAGGGGAACTTTTCGAAAGAAACGCTGATTTCAGATTGGATAAAAGTGAATGTTAAAGCACCTTATGTCGATGGGGAACGTTTCATGAGAAGAATGGTAAAAAAGAGAAATGTGGTACAATAGAGAACTTTGGCTGCGACGTACTACAAGCGGGTAGTTGTAGGAAGCGATATGAATTGCGGTAGAATCTGGGAAAATCGTTGTTTGCAGTGATGCGGATACAGAAATGGAACGACTTAAAAAGTATCCTCCATGCACGAAAGATGAATCACTAACTACCATAATTTTTTAAAATACGTATTATAGTGCAAGGAGACTACCATAATGCTGCATTTGATGCTATTGTCACAGGCGTCGTATTCGTCGCATTAGCTCACGTCTACGTTGTCACAAGGTAAATTTATGCCTATTTTCCTGTAGAAAGGAAATTTTATTCCTGTAAAAACCTTCCCTCAGTAGGGCATAATTCTAAACTCTGTAAGCTGTTGTAGGTTGCATTATTGGTTTTTAAATAGTCACTTATTACGTGGTTTACCTTCTAATTGATCATCACTCTCCTCGACGCTAAACCGCTATAAAACAACGAATATTTCGTCAACAGGAAGCAACGTCCCAACAAAATGATCTTGCCGCTCACTAGAGAAGTGCGTTAATTGCAACGTGATAAGTTCGAGCGAAAGTGCGGAACTGCTTCCTTATTGTAATGCCCCCTTTGGAGTTTAACTTCAGATGCATTCCCACACCTTTACCATAAATAACAGCTTCTTTGTCAATGTCAGGCTTTAATCTTCTCGAGAGTGTTATAAGTGTAATGTTCGGCTGTTTTTTCGCAGGTGTTCGGACGTAGATGACAAGCCGCGCTCGCTATGGAGACTTCTTATTTGTTGTCGCGAAGAAGTCGCAAACAAAATCCCGATAAGCATGACTGATGCCAGGTTTTGCAATATGGTAAATCTCTTCATTAACGTAATTTAACCGCAAGGTACCAATGAAACTTGTGAATTCTTTTGAGCATACTACAATTCTCTGCATTTTCGGTTTTAAGTGACGTAGTCTTTGACAAACTCCACCTTCAGTAATACTGTGATAGATGGCCACCATTCATTGCAATTTCAGAATTACAGTGCTCACGTTGCTATTAACATCGAAAGAGTAAATAATGAATGAAAACTCTCGAGACGCCACTTTTTGAGGTATAGCGATCGCAGCATACTATTAAATGCAGTAGAGCAGAGCTTTCATCAGTTTTTAACGTTACCAGTCATTTTTCTTCGCTTTGGGCACCCATCATAGTGTCCCCATCTTGACATCTTTGTCGTTTACCGTGTCAGCCATCGACCGTCACGACTCTTCAGTGGTTGTTAATTCCTATTATTTTTACCCTGGTCCCCTCCGTTGTTTAACCCATTGACGAACGTGTGGCCCGCCGGCGGGTTAACACCATATCGTCTCCTGTAGTATTTATATTATTTATCAAGTGTTCTTATAATTTTTTAAATGTTTTTAAAATATCAGCTGAGCTCACAGCCTTCTAGAAAATCTTTTTGAAGCGCTTGGTCCAGGAATCATTCATCCCCAACTACAGTTATGAAAGAGAAATTAAAGGTTAATGTAAGGACAATATAAAAGGTGCGGTTGCCGATGGGTTTATGCGGGATTTCTATTGAATAACCAGACTGATTGAGCGCAATAGCAGTCTCTCGTTGCTGTATGTCAAAACTCCGAAAAAAATGAGCAGGAACCATCTAATTAATGGTTTCCAGTTTTTCCTCGTTTGGTTTTTATAGCAGACAAGGAGTGTACATCTCTTTTCTTTGAGATCGTGAGTTGTCCAGATACCGCACTCAGAGCTGTAGGCTTCGGCATTGAGCCATTGTAGCAACTTGATTTCCTGGTCATCTCTGATGCTCTGCCAATGTGTTAGTAGGATTCCTTTTCCTACAATTGTTTTTACTCAACCTGAAACGCTGAGTGTCTCCGCCGTTCGGGGCAGTGGTGGGCACGGCACCTACTGCTAACAATCGGTGTTAGTGCAGTGTCGAAAGGGGCGAGGGTATTAATGCAGTGGCGAAAGGAAGCGAAACTGTAAGGGAAGTTCTTCCTTTTTTCTTCCTCTTTCTGCTTCCTTCTGTTTGCTTCCTCTTCTCGACCCCTTACCATTTGCCCTCTCCGTTTGTCATCACTCTATGTATGTTGTGGATTCACAACCATATCTATGTTTATAATAGAACTAGCCTTCACAAGAATGATGGATAACACGCTAGTTCCAACATATTAACCATAGGCATAACTTGACGTAAGCATCTCTTGAGTTGAGACCACAGGCATGGCGGTATCGTAAGTGTGCAATCAAGTAGGTGACTTAAGTTCTGCCGTCGGCGCGGTTCGCTCTTTCATCCCTGAGCAAGAGAACCGCCACGGGCCCCCTAAGGTCCAGTGGTGATACGGTATCTGAGGACCGCCCACATATTGTGTATATAAACCCCGTGAATGAATTATTATGGTCGATCCTTATACTAACACGTCGTAATAAACATTACACGTCACTGGTTAAGACTTCCATCGGCTCACTAGCCAAATTGGTGCATCGGCCTTGGGTTCAAACCCACAAATCTCCACACTCTTTTGCGCCAGCTCTCTCTACAGAGAGACAAAAGAGCCCAGTTCTTCCTTGCGAGTCCTCCCCGGAGGAACCAGATGAGCGAACAACTACAACTTCTTTGCGCGTTCTCTTCGGAGAAACCAGAAGGCGTAGGTTCTACGTTTCTATTCACTTAGAAACAAAATCTTCTTTGCGAGTCCTCTCCGGAGGAACCAGAAGACCTGAATCACTTCTTTCTTTGCGCGTTCTCTCCGGAGAAATCAGAAAG